CCGTTCCATCGGAACCTTACGGACGCCTAACCCCGCCCCCCCCCTGCCCCCCAAACCCACTGCCTTCAAGTCCATTCCTCCTCCGAGGGTTTCCGAAGCCGCCCGTCTTTATGGGAGGCGGCACCTCTTCATGCTGCTGCCGAGCCGGCTGGTGGGTTTGAACTGCTGACCTTGAGGTTAGGAGTCCAAGACGGATTGCTGAGTTTTAAAACTTGGGCTCAAAACTGCGGAGGGAGATTGCGTTTGTATGGGGATAAAATGACGTATGAATCAAGACAGTAAAAAGAACCCACAACCTCCTCTTCCTGGAATGGGTTTGGGTGTGATTCGGCACATGCACACTTGGGGCTCATTGTCAAGCAGCCTCAGTACTCCAGGGCCCAGAGGGTAGTGTCCCAGCGAGGGGCCACCTGATCAGCACATGTAAGAATCTGCGGCATCACCGCCCGGCAGGAGCCTGAGGCACAGGAACCCAGTGGATCCACTCTTAATACGTTCCAGATTTCAAAATAAAATCGACATTGCTCTCAAGACCCGGCCTCGGTTAGGCTCCTCAAAGCAATGCATAACCTCTCGGCGACCAGGGCTGCTTCCACAGACACAGGTTGGGGAATGTCGGTCACGTGCTCAGATGGGTTGCTAACTGCTGACAGCTCGTTCTGAAACGTGTACAAGCTGAAGGCTAGCGAGCACTGCCATCCATAACCACTATGTGATCTGTGCAAATCCTCGTTGAGGGTCAAGGTCTCTCAAACCTAGACCACCTGGGAGTCTGCAATTTAAAGGCAAAAATAAGGTAAGCGTCTCCAGATGGACAAGGTAGAACCTTGTCTTAGGAGAAAAAGCCCTGGTTGTGGAGTGGAGTATGCATTGGGCTGCTACCTCCAAGATCGAGGGGGCAAACCCAGTGCTGCCTGCTCCTGCGAAGACAACTGATAACCGTGGAAACCCTAGCGCGGTGGTTCTCAACCTTCCTCATGCCCCGGTCGTTTAACACAGTGCCTTATGTTGTGGTGACTCCCAACCATACATTATTTTTGGTTGCTACTTCATAACTGTGATTTTGCTACTGTTATGAATTGGGCGACGCTTGTGAAAGGGTCCTTTGACCCCCCAAACGGGTGGAGACCCACAGGTTGAGAACCGTCACCCTAGGTAGTTCTATCCTGTCCCATAGGGCCACCATGAGCCAAAATTGACTTAATAGTGGTTCGTTGTTTTGTTTTTTTTGGGGGGTGGTAGGAAGCTAGCTAAACATTAAAGACTGCCTTAGGGACTTGTTTCGTTTACCACTATTGCCTAAACCCCACCCCACCAGGAAAACAAACTCTAAAACCCACTGTCATCAAGTCAGTTTTCAATTTTGGTGTAGCGGCTACACACTGGGCTTACTTCAAGGTCAGCAGTTCAAAACCACTAGTCACTCTGTAGAAAGACAAAGCTTTTTACTCCCCTAGTTACACGTGAGGAAACCCATGGGGGGCAGTTCTATCCCATCCTAGAAGGTCATGTGAGTTGGAATGACGCGATGGCAGGGAGTGTGAGGGAGTGACTTGCAGATCTTATTCCATGTTTTCCTTTAAAAAAAAAAGAAGCTGGAGAAGGGAACTAAACGTCATTTTTCAAATGAGGTCATTTTTTTTAGTTGAAACGCAAACCAAGGCAGATTTCTTAAAAGTCCATTACATGTAGCTCATCCTCGCCCTCTACCACAGACACACGAGCACACACAGCGCTATAAATATATAACTGCATGGTGGCTTTTCATTTGGCTGAGACTAGAACCTGGTGCCCTATCTACATTGTCTTTGCAAGTGTACCCAGCTCCTCATACATGAAAGATACTTGTCATTCCTGAATGCACTTAGGCGACAGGCTGTTTCAACTATTACCCGTATCATTGTCTGCAATTCCATTAGTAACTTTTCATTATATAATGGGAAGCAGCCTATAAATATCTCTCTCCAATTTGATGAGAAATTATCCTACCTACAGCTTATCTTGTTAAAATCACCAGATCCAGTGTTCCAATTGAATAACTTGCTTATTTATTTGAACAATACTGATCCATCCCCATCCTAGTCCCCCCACCCCAGTCCAGGCCTGTAGCTACCAAATCTGGTCTGCGATTCCTTGTTAAGAACCCTTACATGTCAGAGAACCTTTTGGAAACAAGTCCTCCAACCCTTTCCCGTGCACACCATTGAATGAATCCGTGCCTCCAGTTCTTGTGTGGTTTGATCTGTTCGTGGGCCCTGTGTGGGACGCACCACCCAGCAGGAGCTCCCGTCATTCTGCTGCAATCTGCTTCCCAGCAGAGAAATAACCGCCGCTCTCTCCCTCCGAGTTAAGCGTGTACATAATCACCAATGCACAGACAGCCATCTGAGGCGCAGCTCCAAGGAGGCCCCATCTGCTGACAGTAATTGCGAGAGGGAGGGGGCCAGAGGAGGGTTCTAAGGACCTATATTCATAGGTATCCCATTTATGCTTTTGTAGACATTTAATACTATCCTATGTGTTCTTTATGGTCTCCTATTATGGAAATGGAATCTGTAAGCCTGTACTTATGATATCTTTTTATAAGACTGAGCACTCAGATCCACAAAACCATGAATTCCAAAAACAACAACCACAAAACCATGAATTCCACGTAATCCAGCAACCTCTGGATTTCTCCCCTCTCCACTTCTCAAACATGGGGAGGCCAGTTGGGTGAGGCCTGGCCAGTGTCGCTCTGTAGATCAGGAAGAGAGCAGAGGCTTTGAAGCCAGATGGTGAAAACAAACCACAGTCTAGGCAGGAATTAGCAAGTCTTGCAGTCTGCTTTTCTGTAAAATGGGGATACAGAGTTAGTGTACTTACCTGTTGTATTATAACTTTTTAAAAATAAATAATTTTATTGGGATTCATACAACTGTTATCACAATCCACACATACATCAATTGTGTAAAGCACACTTATACAATCGTTGCCCTCATCATTCTCACAACTCGCTTTCTGCTTGGGTTCCTGGAATCAGCTTCTCATTTTCCTTTTCCCCCTTCCCCTCCCTCCCCGCTCCCTCATGAACCCTTGATAATTTATAAATTATTATTTTATCGTATCTTACACCTGTTGTATTATAACTTATCTCTGGACACTTCCAACCAAAAGTCTGCTTCCAGTTGAACACTAGAGGCCACCCTTTCGGCAATTCCATTGCTAAGAATTGATCCTACAGTTGTCCCCACAAGGAGGCCTATGAGAATACACCACTGCCACATTGTATTACCAGAAAGCATGAAGCCAGGCTCAGTCTCCATCAGTGGAAGACTCTAAGTACCATGCAGTCCAAAGACACAGGGTGGATCTTGAACTGCAGACGCACAAGTGTCTCTAGGATAACTGCCAAATGGGAAGCGCAAGCTGTGCTATTTGGATCTGTACTGAAGGCATGTTTTCTTTCACTTAGGAAGCTTCTCCCATCAGTGATGGCGCGTTCATTTCGGGCAACACTGATCTTAAAAAACAGTTCACGGTAAGAACCCCCAATAAAATGATTTTTTAATGAAATCGTTTTATTGGGGGCTCCTAAACGCTTATCACAATCCATACATACATCGTGTCAAGCACATTTGTACATGTTTCCACCATCATTTTCGAAACATTTTCCTTCTACTTGAGCCCTTGGTATCAGCTTACCCCCCCCCCCACCTTTAAAATGATCTTTTAATAATAATAATAAAAACATCTCAGTATTAGTTCTGTTATGGCTTTATCTACTAGTCTTAGCTTGTCAATCTCACTCTTCCCCTTTCCTTACATACACATTGCTTTGGGGGTGTGTGTCTGTGTGTCTGGATACAAGGACCCAATCCTCTACGATGAAGCATCTTGAACAATCATCCTATCTGGTGCTAGCTGGGCGACGTCTCAGCAAACCCCATTCTAGATGAAGGCTTACAGACACTTTAACGCATGCCAGAAAGAGTGAGCTCTGCATTTCTGTGCAGACAGGGCCGGAGGGATGCTTTGGATGTAAATGACATTATTGAGTACAATGTGCCAGTCACTGTACAAATTGTCATTGATGACGTGTTGCCTTATCTCACAATCACCCTAAGGTAAGTACCAAGAGCGCCCTTACTTCCACGGTGAGGAGTTGGAAAAACTGAGTTCTGTACTCACGACCTCTACCGGGGCCGAGAGATTTAGCACTGGCACCCGTGGGGATGCAGCAGCTGCTGGAAGGAGGTAATGTAAGAAGATGATGGTGGGGTGGGGGTTGAGGAGGGAGCCGAGGATGGGAGAGAGGACAGAAGATCAAGAATAAGAAGAGGGGCCACTGGAGAAAAATCCTACTGCAGGAAAGGCACCGCACCCAGCAGGCGCTGAATTGGTATTTGCTGAACCAACAGAGTAGAAAGGGCTATCGTCAAGTTAGTGACCGTCCTTCTTGGGAATTTAAACATAAGAGGTACAAAATCCGCTAGTATAAAAAGGAAGGAAATGGTGTTCAAGTTGTGAGAATTCCAAGATGTTCTGGGCAAAGACCTGTATCAGCAATACTTCCTTGGTGAAAAATTCGACAACATAGCAAGGTACATGGCCATTCTGTGTCCACCCCTAACGCCCCTTGGGAGGTCTCCTGATGACGTGTCCTCCCAGAAACACAAGCAGAACCACGGCTCCCCTTGAAACGCAAAGTGCCACCCAGTACATACTGCAATTTGCTTTTTCAGTCCCAGGATTCACACAAGATGGCAACGATATTGCAACACAGCTTATAAAAGCCACAGTTTATATTTAAACACAAAAATAGCAAAATTACTTAATTTTATTCTGTGGTGGTTCAGTAAAGTAAACAGACATGTGTATGATTTATGCTAATTTATATGGAGATGGGCACCAAGATGACAGGCAGCCTTCTGGGGAAAGTCCCCAGCTCACCGCAGGCTCGGCCCAGGCACCGGACAAAGCTCCAGAGTAGCTTCTGGAAGACAGCCAATCTGGAAGGAAAAGCCAACAGGAAATAAATGTCTTCTCTAAGCTTCCAGCTTCATCTTCTCTCCCACTCGCACATTTGTCAAGGCTGTTAACCTTTTACATCCTTGTCTATAACCTGCTCTTCTGGGGTCTGCCCATACCATGACTGGAAACTTGGGACCAATACACGATAGACTGTACGCTGGACACAGAATACCAGACTGGGCAGTGAGCATGGATGGCATCTCCATGTCACACTATGTCCCCTGGATCGAAGACCACACCGAGGCCACACATTTTCTTCTTAACATCCTGACGCTGTTTAAAGTGATTACTACAGCTTGCTCCCACCTGGACTTTTATCTTCTTAAATCATGCCAGACCTTCTGATAATATACTTTACTATAATCTTTGAAAGAGCCCTGGGGAGCTGCTAACCACGGGTCAGCAGTTCAAAACCACCAGCTTCTCTGAGGGAGATAGACGAGGCTTTATACTCCCGAGGTTACAGCTTTGGAAAAGAGCAGCAGCAGTTCTACCCTGTCCTCTAGGACCGCTATGGCTCCATGGCAGTGAGAGGGTTTTGGATCATAACCTTTATGACACCCATGTCCTTTCTAAGGATCTCTGGTCTGCGGTTCAAATCCACGAGATGTCCTGGGGGACAAAGATGAGGCAGCCTGTTTCCTTAAAAGTTCACAGCTGTGCTCCACCTTCTCTAGCCCTTTCTTAGTCGTTCTCATCTCCAGCCCTTGCTCCCCGTCCCCACGGGGTTTTAACTCTAGGCCAGGTGAACCGTTGTCAGGACTTTGCTTTATTTGTTTCCAAGTCAGGTTTCAGTATCTCAAAACCCATGCTTTCTTTTACTTGGGGCTTACCACCCCATTGGCTGGAATACATGATTAAGTAACATCCTGAGGAAAAAGGTAGGCGACCAACCTGGAGTCTCTGAAATCACCCAGACAGATGGGGTATCAACACAAGTGGGAATCCCATCAGCATTCCCCTGGAGGGCATGACTCCTTGGTCTACAGACACTATCTCGCTCTCATTCTCTCTTGTTTGCCTAGGCAAGTCATTGTGTTTCTTCTTTGAAGAAGAGTTTTCTGCATTTCAATGGCAAGTGCTTTAGGGGTAGATCATTTTTCCCAAGCTGTGATGGACACTTTGAAGAACTCTCAACTAAGATTTTGTTCCCAAGAACTCCCGGATTGGCAGTTTCTTTCTGTTCTACATGGACATTTATTTAATGCTTACCTTCACAGCTGCCCCTGCTCTTTGTGTGCTGCCAACTCTGAACCCAAAGACCCCTCCCTCCAAAATTCAGCCACCGGGGCTCTCTCTCCTATGCTGTCCACCTGTGACGATCCACACTCTGCCACCTGCTGGTTACTGCCCACTCATTAATGCTCCCTTTGCGCGGGGGTTCACTCTGCTGCAGGTCTTTATTCCCTTTTGGAGCTTCCACTTCCATTTCTGGGGAACAGGTTTTGAAAGCACCAGGGCCTGAGCTTTCAAAGCTTTTGTGGGGGGCGGGGGACTCAATCCTATAATTCACATAAAAGCTTCATCAGGAAAAAACAAAACTTTGACCCAGTAACAACTTACCTGTTTAGAAGAGTCCATTCACCTGTTCAGTTTCAGGGTCCAAATCAATGTCATAGAAACAGGGCCGAGTGGGGAGTCCGGGCATTGTGCTCATCTAGGAGAAGGGAAACGGCAAGAAAAACCATCTTTGGCTCTCCTTCCACCTGCCCCTCAGGGAGAACGTCCTGAGCTCGAGAGGCCGGCATTGTGCAGCTCTCATCGGAGGGGAAACCCAGCCACTGATGCCGCTCGCTCCGTGTGTAGAGAAGCCCTCATGTCCTTCATGAAAGCCAAATGTTGGCCTTCACCAACCACTGCAATAGGCAACAGCAGGGCCTTCACTGGCCCTGCAGAGAACAGCGGGGGCTAGGCGGCTGGACAGTCAGCCTCGGAGGTTGCCAACTCTTTCTTGAAGCGTACGAGTTTTGTGGGGTCTATTTTAAAAGAATCGTGTGTGGATGTCCATGTTACTTTTGCTTCAGCAAAATGACCCTTGGAATGAATATCCTTTAACTTGAATTTGGGTCAGCGAGAAAGATGAGGCTGTCTGTGCTGTAAAGCGTTACAGCCTCCGAAACCCACGGGCAGATCAAACCCTGTTCTATGGGGTCTCTGGGAGTTGGAATCGACTGGAGGGCAGTGAGCTCCATTTTGTTGTCGTCTTGGGCCAGGACATTACTGCACACAATCGAGGTGGCTGTGCAGTCAGTACGCTTACTGGTCCAATTTGTCCTTCTAAAACAGAGCTTGGAATGCTTATGAGATGTATTTTCACTTTTCTAAAGACTTGGCTTTGACAAATATCTACTTAGATGCAAACTTGTGCGGCTTGTAAGGGAAAACTTGGTATATTTTCTTCTGTCACCATCTCCTGTATAACGAACATACACAAGTTCCTCATCAAACTCAGTCAGGAAAACAGTGTAGGCTGAACTTCCAAAACTCAGCTATAAAAATGTTATAGAAGAGGATGAGTCATCTTTAAGGATGAGTCACCTTCTGGCTCACAAAACATCTATACTTTAGAGCAGGGGTCCTCAAAGTTTTTAAACAGGGGGCCAGTTCACTGTCCATCAGACCCGTTGGAGGCTGGACTATAGTTTAAAAAAGAACTATAAACAAATTCCTATGCACACTGCACATTATCTTATTTTGAAGTAAAAAACAAAATGAGGCAAAAACATGTCCTCTGCAGGCCGCATGTGGCCCGCGGGTTGTAGTTTGAGGATGCCTGCTTTAGAGAATCCAATCCTGATATCCAAGTGCTAATCAATACTTCCCACACTAGCTGCAGGCTGTGTAGTCAATGCGAGAATGGGATGCACTGAATGTAGGCACCAGGAAAAAGGAGAGGACCGGCCTCAAACTGCAGGGAAGCCTGTAGGTGATGTGGTAAAGAACCTGGGCCTGCTGATGTAGACATGCACATGCGTGTGGGGAGAAAACTCTTAAGACATTCTCCAAAGAGTGATAATAGAGATAGTAAGGTTTGGGATGATTTTTTTAAAAATCTCTTCCAAAGAGGATTTTCTCCCAAACATGAATCACGTTGATAATCAGTAAATATTTAACATGGAATGATTCTAAGCACATACATGCACCTAGATCTAAAAATCTGAGAAGCCACCAATCTTCGTGTGAACAGGTCAACTACACGAACCCTCTCTCCGGGTTAGTGCTAGAACACTGCCTCTGCAGCCAGCATGATTAAGTTCGTAACGTGGTCTGGGTTCAAGTCAAAGGCCCCTTCCCCAACCCTGTGGTCCAGAGAAGAGCTCCAGGCTTGAGGGGGAAGCTTGTGTTTCTCTCTCTCACTAGCTTGACCTCCTTCATGCTTGCTTCCCTCTGCAAAGCCACCACTGGTGAGCAGACACAGAATGTCACTGTACAGGGTATAGCCGCCACTCTCAGCTGCTGACAATTTCTCCAGAAAGCACAAGGACTTCTGCCTTTCTCAACGTGCTGGGTAAACGGTGCAGTGTTCCTACCGCAAGGGCATTTCCTCATCTTCTGAAGGTTGACAGGACTCCCTAATATCATGCTAAACCTCTGCTCTTTTGGATGGTTGGGGGAGGAGGCACTGGTGGGCAGGCTCGTGGGCTGACCTCGCTCTATAAAACCGTTAGACTGGGGAGGGGAAAAATGAGGACCTGATGCCAGGGGCTTAAGTGGAGAGCAAATGTTTTGAGAATGATGAAGGCAATGAATGTACAAATGTGCTTTACACAATTGATTTATGTTTAGATTGTGATAAGAGTTGTATGAGCCCCTAATAAAATGATTAAAAAAAACACACAAAAAAACTTTAGATTATTAGCACTACCGAGCACTGGTGGACAAGGGGTGCCGGGGCACCGGGTTTTCATAACTCGCCCATGGCCCACAATGGCAGAGGTGAAAACATGATCAAATTTCATGCCACGTAACTTTAAACGCTATCTACTGCCACTCCCTATCACCTTCTCAATACACGGCAGGCATGCCAGCACGCCATAGGTCATCAACTGGATGAGCCTATTACCCAGACTGTGGTGATGGCCTGAAACACCAGCAAGTTTCCCGCTTCCACGCTCATAAAATCTGTAGGACTGTGAAAGCATTTAGCTGCTAATTTATCTTCAAGTGTAGTAAGCAATCACACTTTTCACTTGTATGGGGGCTCATTTGCATTTTCAATAAGGGCATTTCTTATTGAAAATAAACAACCAACCCAACCAGTCCCCTTAGTTTCAGGTGTTGGCTCAGGCCCCAGAGATGCATATGCCTCCGGCACTCTCAGCTGATTGTTCAGAGGGCTGAGCTAGTCTGTGAAAGGTGCTTAGTAAGTGCTAGTCCTGGTTACTTGTTGGGTTTCAATCTGCATGGTCAGCAGTTCAAAACCACCAGCAGCTTCGAGGGCAAAAGACTAAACTTTCTACTTTGGAAAACAAGTTACACGCTCAGAAACCATACGCAATGACTGAGAGGCAGCACTGACTTGATGGTAGCAAATTTGGTTTGGTTATGAGATGCATATCTCGGCATGACTACCACCAATTAGGCCCGTTCTGCACCCAGCTGAGGTCACAGTGGCCTTGGGAAACAGACTTGAACCGACAGCACGCGATGAGTCACGTGGGCCCAGCTCCAGGGCTCTCCTTGGTTGGCAGGGGACTCTGCTGGTTGCACATTTGCTCAGGGGCGTCGGTAATGGATTTGAAACCAGAAACCCACGCACTTACCGTTCCCACTAAGGGGTAGAGAAAGCCAGCCCCCACACTGGCGCGGATGTCACGGATGGGAAGGACAAAGCCCATTGGCACACCCTTTTGCTCTGGGTTGTGAGACAAGGACAAGTGTGTTTTGGCCATGCAGATGGGCAGATTCCCGAAGCCCTGGGAAAACGTGGAAAGAGAGGCGGGATGAATGAGAGAGAAAAAAAGGGCAATTACAACAAAACACGCCCTAGCCTTATGTGTACGGAGTCCTGAAATTACTTTAATGCCTATCTTCCTCTGCACCCATCTCTACCTCACCACCCTCTACTTTACTTCTCCCAGACCCAAAAAAGAATCAATTGTCTGAAAAAGTTTTAACTATATCTCAGTGCCATTGAGTCAATGCCGACTCATAGCGGCGCTATAGGACAGGGTAGGACTGCCCATGAGTTTCCAAGACTGCCACTCTTTGAAGGAATACAACACCCTGAGGAGTGGCTGGTGATTTCAAACCGCTGACCTTGCAGCACAAGGTGTACCCATGACACCACCAGTGACTCCTTTTTCATCTATATAACCTTACGTCTGGAGTAGACGTAAGGATAACATACAAAGGCAAGTTCTCGGTACTGTGAGATGATAACTATCTTTCCTCATGGCTTGTGCACACTCACACAGACGCATGGTGTGTACGCTGCTGCTGAGGGTGCCCTCCACTCATGGCGATCCAGAAGCTTGGGCGACAGCTGTTCAGCAACACACACACACACACACACACACACACACACACACACACACACACACACACCCTACCTGCTTTGTGTAGACTTCGGCTTTTTGCTGGGCTTCGGGGAGCAATTCAATGTCATCTGCCCCATAGATTTTCTGTGCGATGATCCTGATCTTGTCCTCCACTGGGAGCTAACACACGAGGAGGAGGAGGAGAGACCAGGGTTAGAAACCCACGGGGACAAGTAACCAGAACCTGGCCGCACTCTAGTTGAGAGTCTCCAAGGGGGCTGGGTGGTTTCATACACAGCTATGTAAATTGTCTGAGGCTTATCAAGCTGAAGACATTTCCTTCAAAAACCAAGACCCACATTTCTGGAAATAGAAAATGACCCACAGAAGTAATGTTGCTGTGCTTGTGCACTCCCCCCCGCCCCCCTGTAACAGCCTACACAATATTTTGGCTCTCCAAGAACAACTATTTCTAGAGGTCCTAATACAAAGCTCAATCAGCCTCCTCACATGTCAGGCTATATCTGGATACTATTATCTATGCCACGAGACAACCAATACCCGTCTCCATAACCTCCAGCTGGTACAAGCACGGCAAGTGCCACCTTCAACACAACATCTCGGAGGTCATTGCTGTAACTTAGAGTCACAAAAATAAGCTCCCCTTGCCTTGGGATGGTCTTTAAACTGTAAATCAAAACTATCCCTCCAAGTCGTCTCAAGACCAGTCATTTAGCTGAACTCGTAAAGAATGCTTCTGCCTTGCTCACTGTTGCTCTCTTAAGATCTAGCTAAATGGGGTCAAATTTAAACAGTAACTCGAGAGATCAGAGAGGAAACGTAGGGGCAGGGAGCCTGTGTTGAGAACAACTCCGAGAGGAGGGTGGGAAGGCTGCACAACTCCAGGAGCGGAATGAGTTTCACCGGGTTGTCCCTGTAGAAACTGCCGAGTTGGTCTGTGTTTGGCTGTGTATAGTCTCAACAACAATGAACTCACAAATAAACAAATAAAAGCACCTACGCATTAAAACGACGCAGTGCAAGGTCAACAGAGGCTGGGAGTGGTGGAAGAGGCAGTCTCCCATGCCACTGGGAGCAAACGCCCCTTCAACCCTTCCTGCAACGGGAGCAGACAGGCCAACAGTCTAACTGGTGGGGGACTGGTGGGGAGGACTGGTGGGGAGGGCAGTTGTAGGCTCTCTCCCCCAGGGCACAGCTTTCAGAGAGGTGGGGCCCCACCTCTGTAAGCATCACCACACTGCAGAGCAAACAGCTGGCAGCAGACTGCCTAAAAGAAAGTTTCCAACAGGTCATTTGGATGCTCAACTTCTAAATTAGGCAATGTATCTGGCTCTGTACATCCTATAACCATGGCAAATGTTGAGTGAGTCTTGTTTTATGAAAGAAGCAATAATCTATTACCAAAAAAACCTCCCTTTTAAATCAGACAGCAATTACTTATGGAGGGGCCTTGAACTACAAACAAAAATAAAGAGCAAATTTTCTACTCTGATCTCATACATAGGTTACTTACATATGCATCTTATAATTGGAGTTTCTATAAATGCCAAGGCAGTGAGAATTTTTAAAAAAGCACTTTTGTTGAGGGGTGATTTAAGACTAGTGTATAAAAAGAGGCAGTTTCCTTCTTGTCAAAACAAAGCTATGGATAGAAATGGGCTATAAACTCCTACAATCCCACTTCTCCTCGGTCTCTGGATGGCCTTTCCGGACAGGGTTCCACACAGACGCCCTGTGGAGGAAAGCTGCGTGAGGGCGCTTTAACTGCTTTACACTTGCGGGTACATGTGCTGTTGTGGCGCTTAAAAAAAATGTATAAGTATATATTAAGATATAGATAGATAACACAAGATGTGGCGCTTTCTAAAAGGGCGATTGACTGAGCAGATTTTCAAGGAGCGCTAGAGAATCCGATCTGTCAGGAGGCTATTAATTGTAATCATCTTAGAGCTGCAAAAGGCAAAGAGAAATAAGAGAATACCAAAGCTCAAAGGTCAGGAGGTTCCTTTCCTCCCCGGTTTTCTGCGTGACAATTCATACACACCTGGCTCTGTGGCACAGATAACGGGTGCTCTTGAGGATGGCTGCTTGTAAGCGTTTTAGATCGCAGCCACTACTCACCAAAGGGGAATACACAGCATTTTCCTTGTGGACTCTGTTATGCTGGCTGACGTCGAGGTCCCCTGAAAATACTCACCTGAGTCCCTTGGCCCAGTGACCTGTTCCCTCCAGGTGCTTGGTTACGGCCACCAAGTTTACATACCTCTGCCCCGTTTGCTCCAAACACACAGGGATGTTTACAGTACATTCAAATATGTAGGTAGAAATAAATGGTTGCGGACATAGACCCATTTGCCTCCTCACCTCTATCCACCTGGCCGGGCCGGCCTGCCTATGTGGTACCCTTGAAGATTCACGCCTGCCCTCACGCGCAGTGCAGGAGTGTGTGTAAGAGCACGGAGCCTTCGTCACCTTTGCTGTCGGTGACTTGTGCATCTTCTCGTCTTTGATTCCTCTGTGGTGTTGTGATCACTCCTTTTTGTGTCCTTAACTTTCTTTTCACCCAAATTAATATGCGGTCATTTCCCTGCCCTCTCAGCCCTGGTAATTTAGGGTCACTCTGGAGTCCCGGTGGCATAGTGGCTTACCTATTAGATGCCACTGACCCAAAGATCATTGGCTCAAACCCACCAGCAGCTCCTTGGGAGAACGACGAGGCTTTCTACTCCCATGAAGAGTCACAGCCTCTGAAGCCCTCAGGCGCGGCTCTGCTCTGCCAGGCTCGCTTTGAGTCAGAACGGACTCGAGGGCAGTGCGTCTGCAGCTTGGCTTCCTGGAGCTCTGGGTGGCACAGTGGTTACGCTTTGGGCTGCTAAACACCAAGTCAGCAATTCAAAACCACCAGTTACTCCATGGGAAAGAGACGGGGCTTTCTACTCCCGTAAAAGATTAGCCACAGAGACACAAAAGGGCAATTCTACCCTGTGCTACAGGGTCACGATGAGTTGGAATCTGCTCGATGGCAGTAAAAAGTTTTGAGAGTCAATGATTATGTTAAAACAAAAACAAAACTCAGGCCAAAAAACCACCTCAAGAATATGAGGGTTTCAAAAAATTCATGGTGGGAAAGCTCCATATCTTTTAATCCCATCTTTCCACTAATTTTTCGTAAGCGGCATCAGCCACAGTACTCATTCTATGGTCCTAAGGAGGCCTTCAACGCTATGGATACACCACCTGAAACGCAGGGAGCAGAGAACTGAAAACAAGATACCACCTGTAACAAGAATGACCTTTGGCTGAACTACGTCCATGGTACCACAGAACACGCAGTGCTTCTGCTTGGGTCAGCGGTAATGTCTTTAACGCAGCGATGGGAAAAGAAACCAAGGCTCCTGCAGCGCTTTGGTTTTGCACTCTGACCTCGCAACAGCGAGGGGTCAGGAGAGTGTGGAGGCGCGCACCACCTTCCTCCCTCATTGGAAGGGATCAGGAAACCTTGCTGAGCTTGGTGGAACTCCTAGTCCATGGGTTAAGTGGTTGGTGCCTTGGGATAAAGGTGGTCTCAACAAACAATTCAAGTACTCCAGGATTCACATGTACAGCATCTCCATATGACGTCCCCTTGCTCCTCGAAACAAGGACCTGTCCCGGGGAGTCTTTTCAAACCCCCACCCTTTAGGTAAGCGTGCATTTGTAAGGAAGCTGCCTAAGGCTGGGCGTCCATGTGGTGGTCAGGTAACTCACTCACATGGAAACCAAACCCAAAGGTCAAAGCATGGGACCACAGGGCCCTGATGTGAGGCGTCACGTGGTGTGGTGTGGTGTGGCGTTTTCCCCCAGAGTAAGCAGCTCACCTGGAGATCATAAAGGAGCTGGAAGCTGCTGGGGGCCTGTGCTGCTCTTTGGACGGCCTGCGCCAGAACTAAGGCCCCTTTGCCCCCTTCTGCCCAGTGAGTGCACTTCACAGCGTCAAAGGCCCCATGTTCTTTGGCAAGGCGGCTGACGAGGTCCAACTCAGCCTCTGTATCCGTCCTGTAAAGACAGTGTTTCACATGAAAACCTTTAGCAGGGAGGGCTGGAGAAGGCAGCCTTGGGTTGGCCATGAAGCCCCAGGTGATTAGTACTTGCTAAATGACTACTAATCAGGTGATCCTGCTTGGGAGTGGATCTCGGGCCCCTAAGTGACTTTCAGCCAGTTACGAAATCTTTGCTCTCTCAACTTCCACACAAGTGAGACGGGAATAGTCAAAGCACTCTGCGGCTTCGTAGGGATGCCATGGGCTTACATAAGCAAACATATATAAAGCATTTAGAATAGTTTAAGCCCATCATCACGAATCAGCAAATAGTAGCTTTAGGGTTTTTCTTTGCTTCCCATTCAGTGGCTAGGCCATTATAGCAAGAGCAAATGAGTACAACCACATGTGAACATCCCACACAAGTCCTTTCTTATGTGAATACTTGCAGCTCAACACCAGTTCGACCCTTTGTCAAGAGAACAGCCCACCAGCCCTGATGGGATAATGGGACTCTGTCGGGCTGTGTCTCCCAAGACCAAAGAGCCTCTAACTTCTGGGCTCGTGTGCCACCCACTTCACCCAGTGGAGAAGGCGGTCTGATACTTAGTCCCCCGTGCGGAGAGTTCTCACTGGGGCTAATGAATGCAGTGCCGGCCACCTCGTCACGACTGCTGCAGTGCAGAAAGCGATCACCCGAGAAAGCACCGCTGTGCAGCCCAGTCCAGTCCTCTTCTCACCATTTCCCAGTCCCCCTTCACCCTCTTGCCGCACTTACTTGAACACGTTCACAGCGACGACCACCGGAACTCCAAAGAACCTGGCATTTTCTATTTGTTTCCTCAAGTTACTGAAGCCCTTTTCAATTAGCTCCAGGTTCTGTGAAAGTAACAGTGGAAGGTCGGTGAGGTCAGAGTTGAAGCAGGTGCAGACGCTTATCAGGGAAATGCCCTTTTTACAGTCAGGAGCTGTCAGAACAAGGGGGCAAGTCTGGGAGCTGATTCTCAGATGCCCTCTTCACCCTGGGGAGGGAACACCGTACAGGAGGGCAGCTTTGAGTCCAGCCCAAACCACCAGAGCGGAGGAGCTGAGCTTGTGTCCCGGCCGGTTTAGAAATGTTGGAGCTATTGTATTTGCCATCAACCAGCTCTAGCATAATAACTTTTTTGAGATAGGAAGGGAGTTAGTTACCTCTACAGAAATTATAAAGAGCCCTGTGGTGCTGTGGGTTAGGCACTGGGCCATTGTGGTAGTTACATAATCTGGTGTCAATTTGATGAGTGATTGAAGGGGTGGAGTCTAGCCTGTCAATCAGGAAGTAGCTTGATGACCTCACTTGGAGGCACTAAAGAGATAAACAGCTGGCTGGTAGCAGGTCACATGCTCACTCCCTGTGAGACATCCTGTGAAGACACATGGAGAGAGGCTGATGGAGCCAGAGAAGTCACGTGGAGACCCCTGCCAGCGCAGAGATGCATACAACGCCACTGGATCCACAAGACTTCCCACCCACTGGCCTGTGATCTTCCTGCATTCGGTGCATTGCATGTTTCGTGAGTCTGAAGAGTCAGTGCTCTGCAGCACCAAGTTGAGTTGGCTCCTCCCATAAAGATTCAGAGTCTGGGAAACCCTCTACAGGGTTGCTATGAGGCAATCGTTCCACAGCTGCCATAAAGACTAATGGAAGGTTTTACTGAGCTCAAAAGTGAGCTTTCATAAGGGATACCAGCTAACAGGATAAACACTGTCTGCAAAAAACGAAAAAGATGGAATTTAATGGACAACCATTAAGGAAATATACGTTTAAATGAGATCATTGCTTGTAGCACTGGAAAATGGCAAGCCACACCAACCTCCACCAATAGGGCGAGGGCCAATAAATCACAATGCTACAGGTACACTCTGAAAAATACACCGCTACTACGAGAAGATGGGCCTGCGTTAACAAAGCAATGCGGCCAACAGGTAGTAAAGTAGGCAGGACGGAATTCTGCCTTTGCATCAGCACAACACGAGACTCGCACACCCACGAGGGTTCTTCAATCCTGAGACATTCCCAGTTAGCCAGGAGACTGAGTCTGGCGCTTCTTTTCTTTTCTAAAGACAAAGGCTGTCTAACTATCGTACGTTTAAGAGACAGTAAATATTTCAAACTACAAGTAGAGCAGTCTTCAATAAGAACCCACACACGGAGAGTGGGTTGGAAAGAGGGAACCGATTACAAGGATCTACATGTAACCTCCTCCCTGGGGGATGGACAACAGAAAAGTGGGTGAAGGGAGACGTTGGACAGGGCAAGATATGACAAAATAATAATCATTTATAAATTATCAAGGGTTCATGAGTGAGGGGAAAAAATAAGGACCTGATGCCTGGGGCTTCAGTGGAGAGCAAATGTTTTGAGACTGATGAGGGCAATGAATGTACAAATTTGCTTACACAATTGATGATTGTTTGGATTGTGATAAGAGTTATATGAGCCCCTAATAAAACGATTAAAAAAAAATCCACACACAGGGCAGGGAGTCTGAGCAGCAGCGACTGCGCCGAATTTTGAAGACCCACACCCATCATGGGAGACCGGACAGAAATGGGTGACCAGGGAGCCACCCTCACCGGGCATGGGATTTGCGCTGTTTCTTCTCGCCCTTTGAAAACGGAAACGTGGGACCAGGCTAGGTCTGATACTGAGGAGCGCTGCTCACACGATTTACCCAGCCACAAGAAAGCCAACTTGTACGCTGGCTGATGCTGAAGGGTTTGCAGTGCACAGACTTTCCGAATGAAGACACCAGCTGGCCCAGGGAGGGGCGGCCACTCTAATTAGACACAGGAAAGGCTGTGGGGGGCTGGCAGGAGGGCCCGAGCTGTAAATTCCCTTCCTACGCCTGCCTCAGACAAATGACCATAAAAGGCAAATCATCACTCTTAAGACAGGCGGCCCTGGGTGAGGGTGACTCCTTTCCAGCCTGTCTGAAAGACTTCACTGGGTGACCAGGCATTGCTGGATCCTTTAAAAGCCTCAGGGGGGGGAGGCAGAGGGGGGCGGCCCGAGACATGGAGTGAACAGAGACAGCAGCTGGTCTGGCCATCCCCTCACAGGTCCACCCCTGGCAGTAAAGGAGACAAACAGGAAAAGGCAGGCGCTCGCTGTAAACCATGTGGGCCCCGGGAGCTCTGGCCGGGAAAACAAGCAGAGGGGCTGGGGGTCTGCAGGGGCAGTTTGGACAGAGTTGCATGGGGCCTGGCTCAGCCCAGCCCTGCAGGGGGCACGACGGGAGACTCCCAACAGCACAGAGCAGGCTCCTCAGCCTCGGCATCTTCTGACATCTGAGCTGACTGGGGGCCGTCCGTGCAATGTCGAACGATGTGCAGCACGCCTGGACTCTGCCCACTGGATGCCACATCACCCCTGGCTGACTGGCGACAGTGGTTTCTATGGACTCCGTGCCTTCTGAAGCACTTCTCTTTTCCTCATCTCACATGGCGGCAATCAACAAGGCCTTGTAGCACCCCTGGCTCCCAGGAGCACTACCAGATGAGGGTGAGGAATGCTGGCTGGGTGGCACATTCTAGGTGAGAATCAGCAATGATCAAGGTTACCTCCTCAGTGTAAGCCTTGGGTAGAGGCAGTCCAGCAGTCACCTGGAAGGAAAGGAAACAAGTGAGAGATGTCCGCCTTGTGGTGAGGGCAACAAGCTCCCGGCCTCGAAGTGCAGACAGCAGGGGAGACTTGTGGATGCCCTGGAGGGTCCAATCACTTGGCCTAAAACAAAGAGACCAGGGGCCCTGTGGAGCCTGAGTTAGCCATAAAAGCCTTACAGGGAGTCAAATGCAACCCAAACTCAATGCCATCGAGTCAAAGGACGGGCGAACTGCCCTTGTGAGTGTCTGAGACTGTCAACTCTCTACGGAGGAGAAAGCCCTTCTCCGGGAGTGGCTGGTGGTTTCAAACAGCTGCCCTCGCACATCACAGCCCGACTCACACCACGCGCTTCGACAGCAGCGCTCCTAGGAAGGGGCCCGTCTCTGAAGGCAGGGGAAGGATGCTCTCTTGACAGGGGTACCCACCTCAGCACACCCCCCGAGAGGGGAGCGAAAGAGGAGCGTCAGCCTGTAAAGGCCACCCCCAAAGGTCTGGAGGCAGAGCCTGTGACGGGCTCCCCACACTGGTCCACAACGC